GGTTGGTAAAAAAAAAAAAGACATCTAGTGACGGCGATTGGTGAAAATAATTTGTTAAAAAAAAATAAGGCATCAAGTGGAGACTGTTGGTAAAATTAATTTCCTTTTTTTAAAAATAAGCCATCTAATGAAGACAGTTGGTTTTTAAAAAAAATTGTCTTAAAAGAATAAGGCATCTAGTGGAGATGGTTGGTAAAAATAACAGTGGTTTTTTTTTTAAAGGCTTCTAGTGGAGACGGTAGGCAAATTTTTATTTTCTTGAATAAAGCATCTAGATCTAGATCTAGTGGAAGCGGTTGGTAAAAATAATAAGTAAAAAAAAAATGAGGCTTCTAGTAGAGACAGTTGGTAAAAAATAATTAATATTTTCTAAAAAATAAGGCATCTAGTGGAGACAGTTGATAAAAAATAATTTTAAAAATTACTTTTACCAACCGTCTCCACTCGATTACATTTTTAATTATTATTTATTTTTACCAACTGTCTCCACTAGATAGCTGGGTTTTTTTAGATCGTATATTACCAACCGTCGTCACAAAATGTTATTTTTTAAAATTATTATTTTTACGAATCATCTCCACTAGTTGCCTTTTAAAAAAAAATATTTTTACCAACCGTTTCCACTAGATGCCCTATTAAAATTTTAAAAAATATTCTTTACCGACCGTCTCTACTAGATCCCTTATTTTTTTAAAAATAATAATATTTTTATCAACCGTCTCCACTAAATGCCTTTTTTTTTTTTTACCAACCGTCTCCACTATAGAATATTTATTTTTTTAAAATTTTCACCAACAGTCTCAATTACATGCCTTTTTATTTATCATTTGTACCAACCGTCTCCACTAGATGCCTTATTTTTACCAAGATAAATGATTTTTACCCACCGTCTCAACTAGATGCCCCGTTAATTTATTTTTTTTAAAATTAGATGCCATTTTTAAAATATTTTTTTCACCAATTGTCTCCTCTATATGCCTTTTTAAAAAAATATTTTTACCAACTGTCAACACTGAAAGCCTTATTTTTTCTTTTTTATAACTATTTTTACCAACCTTCTCCACTAGATGCCTTTTTTAATTTAAAAAAAAATTATTTGTACCAATCGTCTGCATTAAATGCCCTACAAAAAACAACTTATTTTGCCAACCATCTCCACTAGATGCCTTATTAAAGTTTTTAAAAATTATTTTTTACCGACTGTCTCTATTAGATCTCTTATTTCTAAAAAAAATAATATTTTTTACCAACCGTCTCCACTAGATGGGTTTTTTCCCACCGACAGTCTCAATTAGAAGCCTTTTTAAAAAAAAAATTATTTCTTACCAACCGTCTGCACTAGACGCCCCATTAGAAGAAAAAACATGTATTTTTTACCAACCGTCTGCACTAGATGCCCCATTAGAAGAAAAAACATTTATTTTTTACCCACCGTCTGCACTAGATGCCCCATTAGAAGAAAAAACATTTATTTTTTACCAACCGTCTCTACTATATCCCTTATTATTTTTTGTTTTAATATATTTTTATCGACCGTCTCCACAAGATGCCTTGTTTATTTTTTTAAAATTATTTTTACCAACCGTCTGCTCTATATAGATGCCTTACTTGTTTAAAAACCATTATTTTGACCAACCGTCTCAAGAAAATGGCTTTTTTTTTTTAAAAAGGAAATAAATGTTGCCATCCGTGCCCTCTAGATGCCTTATTTTTTTTTCTTTTCATTATGTTTACCAACCGTCTCCACTTGATGCCTAATTTGGGCAAAATCCATTATTTTTAATAACCGTCTCTTCTAGAAGCCTTATTTATTTTTAAACAAATTATTTTTACCAACCGTCTCCACTAGATGTCCTATTGAAATAAAAAAAAATATTTTTTACCAGCTGTCTCTACTAGATCCCTTTTTTTTTTTTAAACATATTATTATTTTTACCAACCGTCACAATATGCTTTATTTTTACAAAGATAAATTATTTTTACCGTCTCCACAAGATGCCACATTTTAAAAAAAATTAATTATTTTTATCAACCATCTCCGCTAGATGCCTTGTTTATTTTTTAAAAAATTATTTTTACCAACCATCTCCACCAGATGTGTTTATGTAAGGGCTGCTGGGGCACCTAGAAATCGTCTTTTGGGGTCAAATTATTTTTACCAACCATCGCCTCGAGGCGCCTTATTTCAAACAATAATAATATTTTTGTCAACCAACTCCACTAGATGGCCTATTAAAATTTTAAAAATATTTTTCACCCACCGTCCTCTGGGCTCCTGACTCTTTCTGCAGCCTTTCTAATATCTACTGTTACTCCTTGGCTCCTTCTTTCCGCTGTCTTTCAGCCACACCCCTAATCTTATGGTAGGAAAGATCTACATCTAGCCTTCTCGGACAAGGGTGAAAAATCTCAGAGGTCCCGTGTGCAAGTTGCGAATGTTAAAGATCCCTTGGTGGTCCAAAATCGATAAGAGTAGGCTTCGGCTGCCACCCAGGCAAAATTTCCTACCTACTGAAAATGTTTAATGTGCTCGTACACTCATATGACCTTAAGCAGTTGCGAGCGCCGTAAAACACTTACCAAAGAAAAAAAAAAGCAGATAGGCAGACTGGTTGTACCAACAGCTAACAACTGGTTGCTCCAAAGGCATGTGGTTGAACTAAGGGTGAATAAGGCAACTGGTATTGTAGTATTGTGGTATTGTGGCATTGTGGTATTGTGGTATTGTGGCATTGTGGTATTGTGGTATTGTGGTATTGTAATATTTCCCCTCTGAGGTCTTTAGTTGTTCGCCATGTTTTTTTAGCTTTAGTAGAGGTTTTACGGCGCTCACAACTGCATAAGGTCATATGAGTGCTAGAAGATTAGAGGTGTTACAAGAGAGTAACAAACATAAAAAAAGAAGGGGAGATACGAACGATAGATGTTTGATAACAAAGGAGGAGCAAACCACACCAGAGCACCCGCCAACCACCCACTTGCCATGTTTGATAAAGGCACTAGGTCAGGCTCATATTGAACCACGAGACTCGACCGCTCCCAAAGAAACTTTTCTTTTTGTATCTCTAAAGGGTAGGTTAGTTTAGTAATAGTTTTACTGCACTCACAACTGTATAAAGTCATATCTGAGCGAGCCCTAAAGGGTTCAGAAGTCACCACCTCAACAAGTGACATTACTCACTTCTGACTGATATATATACATATATATATATATATATACAATTATTTCACACAGAATCCTTTCAGATCATACAAAATACAAAGAGATTGAAAGGTTGAATTAGAAACATCTTTTTATTAGAAATAGTTTGAGATCTTAAAGAAAGTACCAGCGATGTATACACACTGAAGGAATAGGTCGTGGGGTTGAGGGGGAGGGAAAGGGGAGGGGAGG